AAGGAGGCAGGCAGGCAGAATGCAGCACCATTGGTGCTTGGGTGCTTTTTTTTGATTTCCCTAGGGAAAACTGGTAGTTTGGATTCAAAATCTAGACATTTTGGAGTAGCGATCCAATAAAGCGTTCCACCCAGGTGCTGTTGATGGCTGTAAAAAACAAGTTGTTGTGTGTAGTGTAAAACAACCTAGCATTAGGAATTTCAAAATGTAGGTTTGAGTTCCAGGTCTGCCATTTTAATGGAGATGTGACCTTGGGAAAGTCCTTTCATTACAGAATCTATTACTCTACTTGTAATAGAAGGGAAAAATTATATATATATATATATATATATATATACATATATACATATACACACACATATATGCAAATTGAGTTGTGAGAAATTAGCAAGAACTTTGTTAAATTATAATCTTACAAATGTTAAATAGTTACTGGTTTGGTTTCCTTCTTTTTTCAGTTTGTCATTCTCAAATGAGTGAACAATTCAAGTCTTGTCCAAAACATAGTTGTTGCACTACAACAAGCCTTCCTTTGCCAACCAGTTTGCCTCCAGTTAATAAAGTACGTTGGGATACTTTGCGGAACTGGTGCCAACAATTTAATTTGAGTACCGATGGCCGGGTGAGTACACTGTGGGGTGACTCTGCTGCACAGTGTGGAGAGCTTTGTCAGTTTGTAATTTTTATTTTCCCTCTTAATTTCCTTAGAAAATAGATGTTTATCTGAGGCTCCAGAAACACGCTTACTCTGAAATAAACGAGGTGAGTAAGGAGTGTGGTGATAATGTAGAGGTGAGTTCTAATTGTGAATTCTTCCTACTCTCCCAGCATCTCTGTATGTTGTATTTCTAAGGCAAGATTTCTTAGCCAGGGCTATTGACATTTTGGATAAAGAAGATGTTATATATAGTCTACAGCCATACCACCCTGAACGTGCCCAATCTCCTCTGATCTTGGAAGCTAAGCAGGGGTGGGCCTGGTTAGTACTTGGATGGGAGAAGATATTATATATATAATACAAAGGAATATTATTCAGCCATAAAAAGAGTGAAATCTTGCCATTTGCGACAATATGGATAGACCTAGAGGGTACTAAGTGAAATAAGTCAGACAGAAAGACAAAAGCCATATGACTTTGCTTCTATGTGGAATCTAGAAAACCAACCAATTAAAACAGAACAGAAACAGACTCATAGATACAGGACCCATCTGGAGGTTGCCTGAAGGGAGGGATGGGGGGATGGGCAAAATAAGGAATAGGAATTCAAAGGTAGTAACTTCCAGTTATAAAGTAAATAAGGCGTGAGGATGAGATGCACAGCTTAGGGAATATAGCCAGTAATGTAATAACTTTGTATGGTGACAAATGGTAGCTAGACTTAATGGTGATTGCTTGGTAATATATGTATATGTTGAATCACTGTGTTGTACACCTGAAACTAATATATTATTGTATGTCAACTTTATTTCAATAATAAAAAAAAAGACTTGACATTTTGGGCCAAGTAATTTATTTGATGGGGCAGGGGGACTGTCTGGTGCATTTTAGGCCTAAATATCCCTGGTTTCTACCCAGTAAATGTCAGTGGTAAGCCACTCTGCTTCCCTAATCCCCAGTTTTAACAATCAAAAATTTATTCCCGGAAAACTGCTGCCCTAAGGGAACTAACAATTCTAAATCTTTCCCACCTACATACATGGTCCAATGTATAAAGAATAATAAAATTAACACAAAACACAAAAGTCTTTAGGGCAGTAGCACTTCACTGAATACTTACCATGAATCCCATTTGCAGAATATTCCTAAAATATCACCAGAGGCCAAATTGCAGCCATGTTCGACAACATGCAAGATGGCAGCAAAGACAGCAAGGATTCGGAAAAGTTGTAAGAAGGCTAAGAGAGAGGAAGGGATTAATATAGTGGAGGTGATAACTTCAGCACAAGAAGGCATGTTGGCAGCGTGGTCAAGAATTGCTGTAAGAGCCAGTCAATCCAAATCTGTGAATTCACGTCCCATTCCTGCTTCTGTTGAGACCTTTCTGCTGCAAGCCCCTGGTAAGATCAAACCTAAACGAGTGAACAATGGATTACCTGGCTGGCTTAGTCAGTAGAGCATGCAACTCTTCATCTCATGGTCATGAGTTCAAGCTCCATGATGGGCATGGAGCCTACTTAAAAAAAAAAAAAATGTGAATACTATTCCCTAGAAAGAAGGTTAAATTTTAGGGGCACCGGGGTAGTTCAGTCAGTTAAGCATCCACTGTTTATGAGTTGGAGCCCCACATTGGGCTCTGTGCTGACAGCTCAGAGCCTGGAGCTTGCTTTGGATTCTGTGTCTCCCTATCTCTGCCCCTCTCCACACAAAAATAAAATTTTTTTAAGTTACATTTTAAATTTTATTAGTCCCATACTGAAAGGTAGTGAAAAGGAAAGAGTTAAAATAATGTAAATTGATGTCAGATTTATATATGCATTATCTTTTGATTGCTAGGTAGCCAAGTTTTTCCTGGACCAGTGTCTAAGCTAGGTGATTGAGTGGTGACCCTTTTTCATCATAAGCCAAAGTCTGAGGTGGGAAGAAAGCATAATCTAATAATGTGGTCAGCCAGTTTACACCTTCCCCTGTCTCTCCCTCCCTCAAGGCCTTTTTCTCCTTAAAAATTTTTTCAACATTTATTTTCTTTTTGAGAGAGACAGAGTGTCAGTGGGGGAGGGGCAGAGAGAGAGGGAGACACAGAATCTGAAGCAGGCTCCAGGTGCTGAGCTGTCAGCACAGAACCCGATGTGGGGCTCAAACTCACAAACTCACTTCTTAACACAGTGATTAAGTATTGGTTAAGGACTGGTTCAAATCCTTACTTCCTGGGTATGTGGCTTTGGCAAGTTACTTGCCTTAAGCCCTGGTATCCTGATTTACAAAATGAGGTTTACAGCTATTCTACTTCATCTAATGATTTTGAGATTTTCAAGGTACAACTTGACATATTAAAAGTAGGCAATAATAATTAAAATGTTTGGGGCCCCTGTCCTCTTAAAAGAATCTTGAGAATAACTTAGCTCCACTTTTCTCCAGCTCCTGCTCCTGTGTGTGATATTTCTGTTTTCATGTCCAACAGACCTGATCTCAGGCCAGCACAAAGTCCCCCTCCTTGGCTTGAATTCTTTCCCTCTGCGCACCCGATTTCCTGAAGTGTTTTTGTTTTGTTTTGTTTTTAGTGTTTATTTATTTTTGAGAGAGAGAGCGAGCAAGAGAATTAGTGGAAAGGGGCAGAGAGAGGGAGACAGAATCTGAAGGAGACTCCAGGCTCTGAGCTGTCAGCACAGAGCCCACTGCTGAACTCAAACTCTCAAACCATGAGATCATGACCTGAGCCGATGTTGGTCGCTTAACCGACTCAGCCACCCAGGTGCCTCTTGTTTTGTTTTGTTTTGTTTTAAATGCAAGGTCATGGTTCACTCACAAGAAATCCAGCAAAAAAGAAGACAGGGAGCTTGGCCTATTGTCTGCTTCCCAAACTTCACTCCCTTCTGTGAGGGGAATTGGACACCTTTTGCTAATTTGCAAAAACACCCTGCAGCCCCCAAGCAGCCTCTGGAGGACTGCTTTCCCAAAGATGACACTTCTTTCTAATTGTCATCAATGTGCCATATGAGCTACTAGTATCCAACACACACTAACTGAACCTTCTGGTTCCTGTTCATTTACTAAGTTACTAAGCACCTGCTGTGATCTGATATCTGTAAGACTTTCTCTCTCAAATATCATATCTTCCCAATTAGATTGTTCCTTAGACTTTATAAAAAATATTTTTTTAAAAATGTTTTATTTTATTTCTAGGAGAGAGAGAGAGAGAGAGAGAGAGAGACAGCGTGAGCAGGGGAGGGTCAGAGAGAGAGGGAGTCACAGACTCAAATAGGCTCCAGGCTCTGAGCTGGCAGTCAGCACAGGGCCCGACGTGGGGCTCGAACCCACGAACCGCGAGATCATGACCTAAGCGAAAGTTGGACACTTAACCGACTAAGCCACCCAGGCGCCCCTAAAAAATATTTTTTTAATGTTTATTTTTCAGAGGCAGAGAGAGACAGAGTATGAGGAGGGGTGGGCAGAAAGAGACAAGAGACACAGAATCTGAAGCAGGCTTCAGGCTCTGAGCTGTCAGCACAGAGTCCGAATCAGGGCTCGAACCCACAGACCTCAAGATGATAATCTGGGCCAAAGTCAGATGTTCAAGTAACTGAGCTACCCAGGTGCCCCTGTTCCTTAGACTTTCAAAGATCCTTTTGCCTGTTTTGTGTCATTGACGCAGTATAGTATAATAGCTGGGCAAATGGGCTTTGAATCAGAATATCTAGATCCATGTCATGGTACTGGGAAAATTGTGATATTTAACACGATAAGCTTTGGTTACCTCACCTGTAAATAAAAGTAAATAGATGGTCAATATTAATAATTCTCTTAAGAATAGATATGTTCATACATGTAAACCATTAGGAAAATCTTAGATACAAAGCAACCATTCCAAAAAGTTAATTGTCATACAGGGGTGCCTGGGTGGCTCAGTTGGTTAAGTGTCCAGCTTTGGCTCAGGTTGTGATCTCAAAGTTCATGAATTCGAGCCCCATGTCTGGCTCTGGGCTAAAGGTTTGGAGCCCGGAGCTTGCTTCAGATTCTGTGTCTCCCTCTCTCTCTGCTCCTCCCCCCCCCAAAAAAAACATTAAAAAATTAAGAAAAAAAGTTTATTGTCATCCCTTGTACTACATAATTTGTGAAATTAGATTATAGTGTCTTTGGTAGACATTTTTTGATGCTTTTCATTCAGTTGAGTCATCAACAGAATATGATAGCAAAAACCAAGAGTGATTTGCTGAGAGCTTGGATTGGAGTGTTGTTATTTGATGCTGGCTGTTTATATTTGCTTCTCTTTCCCTCCTCAGGCATCAGGTGGTGTGTGGTCCATGGCAGACCTCTGTTGGCAGACACAAAAGGTTGGGTTCGCCTGCAGTTTCATGCAGGTCAGGCCTGGGTACCTGACACCCCCAAGAGGATGATCTCTCTCTTCCTGTTACCCGCCTGCACTTTCCCGTCCCCTGGCCTAGAAGATAATATGTTATGCCCCGAATGTGCTAAGAGGTAATCCTTAAATATTTTTCTTTTCCTTTCTTAAAAATTTTTTTTTAATGTTTATTTATTTTTGAGAGAGAGAGAAAGAGCATGAACAGGGAAGAGGCAGAGAGAGAGGGAGACACAGAATCTGAAGCAGGCTCCAGGTTCTGAGCTGTCAGCACAGAGCCTGATGAGGGGCTTGAACTCACAAACTGAGAGGTCATGACCGGAGCTGAAGTCAGGATGCTTAACAGACTGAGCCACCCAGGTGCCCCACCCTTAAATATTTTTCTAAGCCTGGCACATGGAAAAGGAGATGTCTAGATGGGTTTCTGAATAATTTAGTAGAAGGTGGAGGGCCAATATGTTGATTTCTTCATTTGTTGTATAGATTAGGCAAAAATGGGAAGCAAAAAACTTAGTAATGGATTAGAACTCAGATAAACGTGGCTTCTTAGAAACCTTAACAAAGTATCCAAGTTAAGACCTTAACTGTCTCCATTTTAGAGATGTGTTTTAAAGGGGAAAAACAACAACAACAAAAAACCCACATTAGAGTTCACTACCTGTTAGATACCTCACTTGGGTATACACAAATTAGTAGGGCAAAATCCATGGAGCACTTTGGAATGAAAGGAAGAAGGGAGGCTATGAAAATGTATGGGTAGTACCTACATTGGAGTAGCTTAGGGAAACTTCCCAAAGGACTACATGTACAGAGGAAGAGTTTACCAGTTGGAAAATAATGATTAGGGCATTCTGGTAGTGGAAACAGCTCATACAAATACATAGAAGTAAAAAAAGTCTGGGAAGGGGAGAAGCAGATCATTGCAACTTTTATATCTATATAAAAGATTTCATGTTGTCCTGTGGGTCATAATTTCTCAGTCACTTCTGTGACATAGACTCCTTTGAGAATATGAGACCTACATACTCATCATTCAGGGAAATATATATTGCGCATCCACACAAGCTCTGCTTTATATTTTATATAGACCATAGCACTCCTAATGTTTACCTAGGAGTACAGAATTCAGCTTTTAAAAAAAAAATTAAAATGTTTATTCACTTTTGAAGGAGAGAGAGGGGCAGAGAGAGAGGGAGACACAGAAATAGGCTCCAGGCTCTGAGCTGTCAGCACAGAGCCTGATGTGGGGCCTGAACTCATGGACTGTGAGATCATGACATGAGCTGAAGTCAGGAGCTTAACTGATTCAGCCACCCAGGCACTCCCAAAATTCAACTTTTGACAGTGGAGTTGGGTGGAGGAGAAGAGTGTAGAGAAAAGAAAACTAAGGCTTTTTTTTAGGAAGTCGCTTGAAATCTCACAACAGAAACTAGATTTGAAGGTAAGAGATTACTATAGTAATTCTGGAAAGATGCAGTCTATGAGTTTGGCAAAGAATTTAAAGTGGAATGGAACAAATATAACAATGAAGGAGTAGAGGGAACAGTTGTTGTCTTACTAGATGGAAAGGTAGAAAAGTTCAGTTCAGTGGCAAAGGATGGGATACATGGGACATGCTGGCCATGGGTCTAGAGTTCCGGGAGAAGTGTAGGCAAGAAATACATTTGGGAGTCTTGAGCAAATAAATTGTGCATGAGTGTATGTGGTGGAAAGAACCCCAAAGAGAATCAGCATCTCAACGGTAAGTGAGTACGAGAGACTGAAGTACAGGTAGAGGATGAAAGGTAAGTTAAAAGAAAGCGATGGGCAAAGAGTTTCAGAAGGAAATGGTTGGCAGTGAGATGGCCATGTAAGACTATAGTTAATGCAGTGCTGTTGGGATTGACAATTTAGGACATCATTGGTGGCCTTTTTGAGAGTATGTTGAGAGAGACAGTAGAAACAGAATAGGGTAGTTAAAAATTGGAGTAGAACATGTGAAGAACTAGGAACAGGACATAATAATAATCTGTTCTAATTGAGATGAGAATGAGATAACAGTCGAGGCAGCAATATCAAGGGAGCTTGTTTGTTTCCTTTCTTCTTCCTTCCTTCTTCCTTTCTCTCCTTTGCTTCTTCTTTATTTGTAAATGGGAAAACCAAGTGATCAAGTGTGAAGAGACAAGGGGACTTGGGAAGAAAGAACATGAAGAAAAGGGAACGTGTAAATATAAAGGCAGTGGAACATGGAACCGATTGTGTTACATAGAAAATGTGCCTTGATATTAAGTGAATAATCCTGTCTTTACCACATAAAATTTTAGGTGGGAGGGAAAACTACTAAGAAATGCCAGAAGTGGATTCCTGCTTTATTGTGGTTGGTATAGAATGGTCTATCTTATTGTAACAAATTTAAAAAACTTTCTTTCTTTATAGGAATAAGAAGATAATGAAAAGATTAATTGCTATGGGGAAGGAGAGGCGACGTGGCTTGAAAACATCAACATCTTTGCCTTTGAGTGGGCCATATCTTAATAACGAATAAATGGTGGAGAGCCCGTGGCTACTATTGATTTTCATCCCAGTGACTGTCGTGCTCTGTCCTGGCCATTTTCCGTATTGCCTGAGGCTTTGGGCACAGATGCGAATGTCTAGATTCTGTTCTTGAGGTTTGCCAAGAAGTGACTGCTACTGCTACCTCTTAGTTATACAGAATATAATTTAGTTTTGCTTTAATTCATAGATTTTTTAAAAGTAGCTTTAGGCTTTCAGAAAAACTGAGCAGAAAGTACAGAGTTTAGAAATACTGCCTCAACTCCTTCCCCTACTATTAAAATCCTGCACCAGAGTGATACATGTGTTAAGCCTACATTGACTTATTGTTATCACCCAAACCCCATAGCTTACAAGAGGGTTCACTTTTTGTGTTGTACAGGCTATGGGTTTTGGCAAGTATATAGTGACATTCTACATCCACCATTATGGTGTCATCAAAAGAGTTTCACTAACTCTAAAACTTTTATGTTCCATCTACTCAACACTCTTACCAACATCCCTGACCACTGATTTTTTACTGTCTCTGTGGCTTTGCCTTTTCTAGAATGTTCATACATTTGAAATCATAAGTAGCCTTTTCAAATTAACTTCTTTCACAGCAATATGCATTTAGGTTTCCTCCTTTTCATGACTTGATAGCCCACTTCTTTTTGGTGCAGAATACTCCATTGCCCTCATGTACTTTAGTTTGTTTATTCATTTACATATTAAAAGTCATCTTGGCTGCTTCCAACTTTTGGCAATTATGAATAAGGCTGCTTTATTGTGTGCAGGTTTTTGTATGGGCATAAGATTTCTACTTATTTAGGTAAATACTAACGGAAGTGATCGCTGGATCATGTGGTAAAAGTATGTTTAGTTTTGTAAGAAACTGCCAAACTGTCTCCCAAAGTGGCAGTACCATTGTGCATTCCCACCAGGAGTGATGGAGAGTTCTTCTTGCTCCACATCCTTACCAGCATTTGGTGTCAGTGGTTTGGATTTTGGCCATGTTAATGGGCATGTAGAAGCATATCTCATTGCTTTAACATGCAATTCTCTAATGACCTGACATGTTCAGCTCCATTTCATGTGCTTATTTGTTATCTATATATCTTCAGTGAGGTATCTATTCAGAGGTTTTTCCCCATTTTTTCATCTGGTTCATTTTCTTATTGTTGGGTTTTAAGAATTCTTTCATATTTAGAATGGTAGTCTTTTATTGGATAAGTCTTTTGCAAATATTTTTCCCAGACTCGCTTGTTTTCTCATTCTCTTGATTAATTTGTATATTTAGGTTATTGATGTTGACATAGATGGCTTAAAATCTGTATTTTTTTCATTGCCCTTTTTTATGTGTTATATAAGTAATGATCAACAAGCTCTTAAGGCTGTATTGTTACTATTACCATCTTTTTAAATAGTGGAATTTAGCTGACACAAAATATTAGTTTCAGGTGTACAACGTAGTGATTAGACATTTATATACATTACAAAATGCTCACCAGCATAAGTGCAGTCCCCATCTGTCACCAAAGTTATTTCAGGATTGCTGACTATATTCCCTATGCTGTACTTTTCCTCCCTGTGTTTTTTCTTTTAATAAATGAAAGTTTGTACCTTGCAATCCCCATTAATACTTATTTTGTCTATTCCCTTACTCCCTCCCCTCTGACAACCACCAGTTTGTTCGAAGTCTGTTTCTATTTTGTTTTTTAGACTCTATATAAGAAAATTTTATATGTATTTCTTGACTTATTTCACTTAGCACAGATATTTTTAATGGCCGAGTAATATTTCATTGTATATGTATGTACATATTTATCCATTCACCTATTGATGGACACTTCAGTTACTTCCATATCTTGGCTATTGTAAATAATGCTTCAGTGAAAATAGAGATGCATGTATCTTTTTTTTTTTTTTAGTTTATTTCTTGATCCAAGATTTTTTTTTAGGTTCATATATTTTGAGAGATGCAGGTGGTGGAGACAGGGGATCTGAAGCAAGCTCCCTGCTGATAGCAGAGAGCCTGCTGCAGGGCTTGAACTCATGAACCATGAGATCATGACCTGAGCCAAAGTCAGGTGCTTAACCAACTGAGGTACCCAGGCGCCCCATGCATATGTTTTCCAATTAATGTTTCCATTTTCTTTGGGTAAGTACCCAGTAGTGGAATTGCCACATATATGGTAATTCTATTTTTAGTTTTTTGAAGAAACTGCATACTCTTTTCCCTAGTGGCTGCATCAATTTATATTCCTACCAACAGTACACACTTAATTAGAATAGTTAAAATCCAAAGCACTATATGATCCAATATACCTTCAAACAGAATAGTAACTTAACAAGCTGAACTCAACAACAGCAGATTAAAAGGATTATACCCTATCAAGTGGGATTTATCCCTGCAATTTAAGTGTGGCTCAACATGAAAATCAATGTAATATACCTATTAATAGGATGAAGAAAACACAAAAATGTAAAAGACATTTAACAAAGTCTAACACCCTTTTACGATGAAAACATTCAATAAGGCAAGAAGTAGAAGGGAACCTCCTCAGCACAACAGGTCACATAGAAAAAGCCCATAATTAATATACTGAGTGATGGCAAGCTTAGGTTTTTTTAAGTTAGGAACAAGAGTGCCCATTTTCACCACTTTAATTCAATATGGTACTGGGAATTCTAGTCAGAGAAATTAGACCAAAAAATCCTCTAAATGATTAGAATAAAGTCCTATGCATTGGGAAGGCAGAGGTAAAACTATATACCCAGGTGACATATTACAAGTAGAAAATTCAATCTTCCCTCAAAAAACTTAAAGCTAGTTAACAAATAGAGCAAATTTTCAAAATACAAAAGTCCTTGCAAGGTATCAGTTGTATTCTTATATATCATCAGTGATCATCTGAAAAGGAAGTTAAGAAAATGATTCTATTTACAATAGTTTCCAAAATAGTACAAACGGGAGTGACTGGCTCAGCCAGTAGACCATGTGACTCAGTCAGTTGTGAGTTCAAGCCCCATGTTGGCTGTGGAGATTACTTAAAAATAAAATCTTGGGGTGCCTGGGTGACTCAGTTGGTGGTTAAGCATCTGACTCTTGGCTTTCGCCAAGGTCATGATCTCACAGTTGGTCATGATGATCTCACGGTTTGTGAGTTTGAGCCCCAGGTTGGGCTCTGCTGACAGTGCGGAGCCTGCTTGGGATTCTCTGTCTTCCTCTCTCTCTGTCACTTCTCCTGCTCACTCTCTCTCTAAATAAAGAAATAAACTTAAAAAAACAGAATCTTAAAAAGCAAATAGTATAAACAAAGGGATAAATTTAAAGTACAGGACTTGTACACTGAAGACTACAAAATGTTGCTAACATTACTTTTCCCTCTTAGTTCATTAATGTGGTAAAATAAACTGATGAAATTCAAATATAGAAACACTTGTAGTTTTTTTTAAGTTTTTTTTTTTTTTTAACATTTATTTATTTTTGAGAAAGACAGAGACAGAGCATGAGCTGGGGAGGGGCAGAGAGAGAGGGAGACACAGAATCCAAAGCAGGCTCCAGGCTCTGAGTTGTCAACACAGAACCTGATGCGGGGCTTGAACCCAGGAGCTGTGAGATCGTGACCTGAACCGAAGTCGGACGCTTAACCAGCTGAGCCACCCAAGTGTCCCCACTTGTAGTTTTTATATTGCTAGCTCATAATGATGCATTTTGTTATTACATTTCATATATTTTATTGGAAAATTTTGCTCTAAAGAAAAGTTGAAAGAATAGAAACAATTCACTATGTTAATAGTTTTGCCACACTTGATAAAAGTTTGTCCATTTGTTTTTGACTGCCAGATTAACAGACACATTTTTGCCCCTAAACACTTCAGCATGCACCTTCTAAAAATAAGGACATTCTTTTACATAATCACAGTACCATTATCAAACTTAAGAAATAGTATATGGAATAGATTCCATAATATCAAACATCTAGTTTGTATTCAAATATGCTTAGTTGTCCCAAAAATATGTTTTGTACTTGTCTTTTGAAATTCAGGATTCAGGGGTGCCTGAATGGCTCTCAGTTTGTTAAGCAGCCAACTCTTGATTTCTGCTCAGGTCATGATCTCATGGTTTATGAGCTCTAGCCCCAGGTTACGCTCCACCCTGATAGTGCAGAGCCTGCTTGGGATTTTCTCTCTGCTCATGCTCTCTCTCAAAATAAATGAACTTAAAAAAAAAAAAAATCCAGGATTCATGGGGCACCTGGCTGGCTCAGTCAGAAGAGCATTCAACTCTTGATCTCGAGGTGGTGCATTCAAGCCCTACATGGGGTGTAGAGGTTACTTAAATAAAAGTTTTAAGAAAAGTAGAAACCCAGGATTCAATAGAGTTTCAGGCATTCATTTTTTTAATATAATTTATTGTCAAGTTTGCTAACATACAGTGTATAAAATGTGCTCTTGGCTTCAGTGGTAGATTCATCTCTTACATGCAATAATACCCAGTGCTAATCCTAGCAAATACCCTCCTCAATGCCCATCACCCATGTTCTCCTCTTCCCCCCACCCCCATCGATCCTCAGTTCATTTTCTATATTTGAGCCTCTTATGGTTTGCCTCCCTCTCTGTTTGAAACTATTTGTCCCCTTCCCTTCCTCCATGGTCTTCTGTTAGGTGTCTCACGTTCCACATATGAGTAAAAACACAGGATATCTGTCTCTCTCTGACTGGCTCTTTTCACTTAGCATAATACCCTCCAGTTCCATCCACATTGTTGCAAATGGCAGGATTTCATTCTTTCTCATTGCCAAGTAGTAGTTCGTGGTATATATAAATCACATCTTTACCCATTCATCAGTTGATAGATATTTGGGCTCTTTCCGTGATTTGGGCTATTGTTGAAAGTGCTACTGTAAACATTGGGGTCCATGTGCCCCTATGAATCAGCACTCCTGTATCCTTTGGATAAATTCCTAGTAGTGCTATTGCTGGGTCAGAGTATGGTCCTATTTTTTA